TTCCTGATCTCTACAGAGAAAACCACTGGAGGACTTGGGTCTAATTTACATGCATTCTTTTTACTTATTTCTCCTCTATAGTGGAAGTCAAATCAYATGTTATTTTGTATCTTTTTAAATTTAGCATTCATGTTACCATATTTATTTCTCTTGTTAAAAATTGTTTTCAAGTATTAATGTCGTGTAAAATCTCAATTTCTTAATGTACTGTAAATTTTCTAACAAATTCCCTAGTACAACAAGTTGAAGATATTTCACTTTTTAAATTATTTTTCTGTCACATTTAATTCTTCAATTTTCATTACTTCTGTGTAATAGAATCTTAAAAGTATAGTCATTGGATTAAAGGATTAGGTCAATTATGTTCTTGAAGATTCTAGAAAGAAATGTTATTATATGTGCCTATTATATGCCATCTAATCATTTATGATAGTGCCCATTTTGCTGATTTTGCTGCCCTCTGACCAGTACCAGTAACTTCTTAGAAAATAAAGAAGTTTTTTGAAAGTATCAAATTTAAATGCAAAGTAGTACAGAAAATGAAGTTTTCTCTGCAATCTGAACTTGTTACATAGTAGGATAATGACAAACTGTATAACAATTTGAATAGTGATGATGGAAATGATGATAATAGTAAAAAGCAGCAGCTTTTTAATCAGGCTCCCATGGCAGGACCTGTTCTAGTAAAAATTTATATATATAGTCAATTCTGATGATTCATGGATTCCGTGTTTGTGAATATGCTTACTGTTAGAATTTCTTTGTAACCCTAAAATCAGTGCTTGCAGAACTTTCATGGTCATTTGTGGCCCAATGCAGAACTTCAAGAACTTTGAGTGGCCCAATTCTCATGTTCCCAATTAAGGTTTAACTAATAAAATGTACTCAGCCTTCATGTTTCAGCCTTCATACTATAAACAACTGTCCTTTTTGTCATCTATTTAGTTCCACAAATGGAAAAACTGGGTGCCGGTCRCATAGAAGAGGAATTAGACTTCTTTATATTTTTGCAAGATAGAATAATTATGACTAAACAAGGAGAGAAATAGATTTTAGTCCATTATGAAAGCTGTTCAGGACCTGTGTGGAATTTAATGTCTTAGAACTGGGAATATGAACCAGAGATTTAAGTGACAGGACATTTAGATGGTAATATGAGAACACTTTATTCAATGGATAGTTCAACTAGTAAATACCTAAGGTTTCTCCAATCTGAGTGTTAACTCTTTGGTCTTTTTTTTTTTCAATCTTGTGAGGTTGCCCCAGCTGGCTTTAAACTCCTGAATACAAGCAATCCTCCTTTCTCAGCCTTCCAAATAGCTGTGATGACAGGTGCATGACACAATATCCAACATCTCTTATTCTTTTTGTGGCCATTTCTCCACACTGTCATAATTGGTTCCTGTAATACTTATGGCATTGTCATTCCTAGTCAGTTCTTTTCCTTGATTCAAGCTTAATTGGCAAACAAATCTACAGTCATTAGGACTCTTTGAATTTTCTTTCCTCACAATTTTGGATCCCCCATATTTATTTATTTCTTCTTTTATGTTATTTATTTTCTTCTTCCTTTCTTATCAGTAACTCTATCTAGTGCAGCTCTGTTTTTATCCATGCCTTAATGATCTTTTTATTAGCTTTTTAATGTTAAGACCTCAAACCATGTAAGACTACTTTATAGTAGGGCCTCTTAACATTTGTTTTTTATAGCACTTTTACTTTTCCAAGTCTTCTTGTCTTGGAATTGAAATTGTTTCTTGTCTTGAAATTTTTTTCTTTTGAGTAAAACTGACTGTTACATTCCATCTGATAGACAATTTATGTTCCTTACAGAGAAGAGGAAGCTTAATAAATAAATCCTCTGCATCATTTTGTCTTTACTATTAACCCAATACCACCCAGTTTTTCTATTATAACTATAGTTACTGCTTTTTCCTCTCAGATTATCTGTTACCTAGACTGCTACCTATTTTTATGTTGTTTTTCACCTCTTAAAATGTTCACTTATAATTATCTTTTAAAAGTTTTACATTTCCCTTATCAGTAAAAATTTGAACCATGAATATGAGGTATGACGTTTTCACCCAGATCTTGGTACTTCATGAATTTACAATGAGAAAAGGAAGAAAATCTTTTTTACTTCTCTTTTCAGGACAAAAAAAGAAAAGTTTGTCTTAGAATATATTTCTCAGCAGAATAATACCATACTTCAGTTGCTTCATTGTTTTATGTTCCTTTTCCTGTTTATAACATTTATGGCCCATTTTAATGTCTTTGTATTTTACTATCCAAATTCCTAATTTCTTACTGTATACTTGTTTTATATAATGTTTATATTATCATTCTTTTATTAATTCAGATCAATGTTTTGCTGCTATTAAAAGCAATAATTTTGGATATAGTCCAATTTTTGTAAAAGAGCATTTGTATATGAATTCTTAATAGTTTTTAATGAAGAAAATGACTATTACTAAGTAAATTGACTCTTTATCTTCATGAGCCTAGCACATATCATAATTTATGCCCACAATTAGCAGTTTTACTACTTTAGAGAATAGTGAGAATATACAAGAATATGAGTTGTGAGTTCTTTTTGGTGTTTATAAAGTGGTAATCAGTAATACATATGAAAAGTACACTTTTATTTATAAGTTTTTAAACATAGTCACAGAATTGGTTGAACCCTGGTTGGTTTTCATTTGTTGAACCAACTGTGCTTCCCAGAACTCTGTTTTATTCGTCTTTGTATCTTCAAAGATTAATAAAATATGGCAGAAAGATGACACTTAATAAATATTTGTTAAGTAAATGAAAGTTAAAAATAAATAGTGTTAAAAGAATCATTACATATTTTAAATTTGTATTTGAAAGCAGCCAGTAATATAAACTTACTAATTTGATCTAGCTTAAGGAAATCACTGTTCAGTGAAACCACACAAATTGTATAAATACATAAAGCAGGTAGTACCATATATAAATAAATGATGTGAAAACCTGAAAATCAAAGCCATTACATGGATGACCAGGTTCTTGGTAAAATAATTTTGTGCAATTGCTATATTAACATATGCCAGTTAGAGTTTTAGACTGACAAAAGCTGTACATAGACAATGTCTTAGAATGGGAAATCAAATATGTTTTACTACTTTAAAGGTTAAAGAAGGAAGTCATTGCAGTTAGGATACATAGCAGAGATATCAGCTATTTTGTCTAATTGCCTGTGGTGATCTAAGCTACCAGGACCACCAAAAAGAGGCTTACTGGAAATCATACAACTTCAGATGACATGTCTGAACAAGACACCTAGTACTTTATCTGCACTCTTCAGGCTCAGGCTTATATAAATGGGACTGTGGCAAAGCAGAATACAGCTTTGCCTGGATATATGCAGAGATATGTTGTATTCAGCCCAGATATGCCTTATTAATCTCAGAGTATACAGTGTATAATATGACTGCTAGAGGATAGCACATGTACATTTCAGAGGCATGAACAAATACTTATTATTCTCAACTTACTTGAGTTGTGATGGCGTTGGAGAAATGCATTTCTGATTTTATTGATGTGGAATTAGATTATATAGAAACACCTGAGAGTTGTAGTAATAGGATCTTAAAACTGGCTATAGAAATTTATCCTAGAAAATTCCTATGATATAAATTTCATGAGAATCTCTTAAGTATCACATAAAGTAAATGAACCTTAGACCAGTATCATTTATAGATATGTTAGTAGATTTTAAGTTTTTACAGCTCATTATTATATTTAAAATAATTTTATGTTTCATTTAGAAATGAGAACAGTGGTAAAGAAATTATTACTTGATGCATGAAAATGACAAGTGTTTAAATATTGCAGAAAAAGCATGATTTCATGTATACCTTATAGTCTCAAAAAGAGACTGCAGGAAGTTTATGTGCTGTACTTCAGAATCCAAATAGAAGCACAGCCAGTAATTTACTCACCTTTCTTCCTCATCTCCAAAATTAATCACAGTTGATACTGTGCTGTGAGTTCTAAGATTACTGGGGCTGTGTCTTACTTATTTTTGTGTTTTCCATACTTAATAACTGGTATCATGTWGGTAGGTATTTAATAAATGTTTGTCATTGATATTTTTAAGTTTCACATGTTTGTGTTCTCATAATTAAGGAAGACAAATGTAGAAATAAACTAGAGAAGATTGAAACAAATACATATGCTATTAATTTTTTCCCTAATCTATCCATTTTGCTTCACAGTACTTACRATATTTAGGGAATTCAGACATAGCTTTTGCTAAATATTTGAAAACTCACACTTAAATAAACTTTTCATTCTTTTTTATTTTTAATTGCTCCTATGGTACTTTCATTTGACTTCAATACTGACTAAATAAAATTCTTACTATGTTTGATATTTCTAAAATAAACTTGGAAACTTGAAGAGTGTTCTGTAATACAGCCTAAAATAATATATGTGTGTAAGTAGAATAGCTGACTGTAAAAGAAACCTTCTTGTAAGGCTGGGAATGTAGCTCAGTGGTAGAGTGCTTGCCTAGCATGCACAAGGACTTGGGTAGAACCCCCAATACCTGAAGAAAGAAATCTTGTCAAGATTTGGAATGATATCATAGCTTTCACTTCTGTTCATAATAGTAAAGAGTGAGTTGAGGTAATAGCTACCAATACACATACAGTGATTTCTTCATTACAGACAATTTTTTTTAAAGAGAGAGTGAGAGTGAGAGAGAGAGAGAGAGAATTTTAATATTTATTTTTTAGTTTTCGGCGGACACAACATCTTTGTTTGTATGTGGTGCTGAGGATCGAACCCAGGCCACACGCACGCCAGGCGAGCGCGCTACCGCTTGAGCCACATCCCCAGCCCCAGAGAATTTTTATTTTACATTAATCTTTTCATATTCTGCAAAGAAATAAAAAGGTATTTAAGTATAAATTTTGGATGATTTAAAATATTTATTGTTCATAATTGTTGACTTTGTGATTTGTCCAAATTAGGCAAAAAGGGCAGCTAGATATAGAAAGAGCTAAGCAAGTGGAAGAATTTCTACAGMGAAAACGGGAAGCTATGCAGAATAAAGCCCGAGCTGAAGGACATATGGTATGATAATTTTTTTAAATTTTATATATATTTATATGTATATATATATATAATATATATTTAGCTCATACTGTTTATTGTCAGACTTTCTGTGAGCCAACAAACAATTTCACAGTTGTTCATAAGGTATAAGGCAAATTTTTTTTTTAATGGGTAGACTTCATTGGCCTAAGTCTTTATAACTTTTCCATATAGTCAGTAGGGTAAAACTAACCTGTCTCACCACGGTCTAAACCCAGCTCATATTCCCTAGTAGTGGGTGAACAATCCAACGCTTGGTGAATTCTGCTTCACAATGATAGGAAGAGCTGATATCAAAGGATCAGAAAGCCACATGGCTATGAACGCTTGGTAATTTTTCTGACACCTCCTGCTTAAAACCCAAAAAGGTCAGAAGGATCCTGAGGCCCCACTTTTACTGTCTGTATTGAAAATCAAGTTCAAGCGAGCTTTTCTCCTTCTGCTCCATGAGAGGTTTGTGTCCTCCCTGTGCTCTCCAGAGGACACCTGCAGTAGGGTTTGACAGGTGTATCTACTGCCCCAGTCAAACTCCCCACCTGGCACTGTCCCTTGAGCATACAGCTTGGCACTTGGCACCAGAAGTGAACYCCCCCCCCCTCCCTGGGTTGCGGTTTGCTGCCCATCCTCACCACCTCCCCTTCACTGGGTCAGTGAAAAAAATGAGCCGGGATAGCCCGGCCCCTTCTCGGGACAGAGCTGCACTGGGAGTCTTCCACTTAATCTGCACCTCTTATGTCTCTCCACCAAGCCAGACAAGCTCTACAGCATCGTCTTCTCCCCGCTGATTCTGCTAAACCTGTTCCCTTGGCTGTGGTTACACTGGATAGGAGGGAGGGGCAGTGGGAGTCTCCTTCATCCATTCATGCACATCACTAATTAGATGATGAGGCATTTGGCTACCTTAAGAGAGTCCTAGTTACTCCCCCCATTTACCCGTGCTTCACTGAATTTCTTTGGCATTCAGAGCACTGGGCAGAAATCACATTGTGTCAACTCCTGCTGCAGGCCTTCGGGATGGTATGATAATTTTTTGAAATTTTGAACATATTAATATTCAAAGTAAAGTTCTAGAATAATGTAAGTATAAATAAAAATTATAATCAAGAAGTCTATGCATAACAATAGGAAAGATATTCAAAATAATTTGCAGAGTATAAAGTTCTGATATTCTTATTTTAACCTGTCTTTTGCTATATCTTTTAAATGAAGAGTGGCATTATATTGTTASTTTGTTTTCTATTCTTTAAAAAGAGTGGAAGTGGGTATAATAACTCAGATATTCGTATTAGAGAAATAAGTTCTTAAATTGCTGGATTTCTCCCCAATATGTACTTAGTTTTAAATACTTCTTAGTGGCCAAGAATTGTTAGAAGAACAATGGGAAATAAATATTTGGGTAAATGTATGTTTAACCATGTATTTGCTCAAAAGCAATTGGAAACAAAATCATATTAAAGCCTTTGATTATGCAAATTAACTAAATTAAGTCATGTGTCCTAGAAAATATTGTTTCTGAATAATCATTTCAGTAGTTGCACCTGTTAATAGTTTTGACTCATAGAAGTGCATAAGTGCCTTTTTACCTTTTTAAAAAATAAAACAACCAATGATTGTTTCCTTTTTTTCCCAATTATTATTTCTCTCAGCTCAGAACCCCATGAATCATTACACTAATGTAGGAAATAGGCCAATTAGTTGATAACATATTTTGATTATACTTATTAACATATCTATTGTAATAAGTTTATATTTGATAACTTTGTAAACTTATTAGTAGTTATTCAATCTAAAATTTTTTCTTTGAAATCATATCCTAGGAAGATAGTTAAATTGTTAATAGTTACCCTCTCTATTTTTTTATCTCTATTTTATTATTTGTTTTATTTTTATGTAGTGCTGAGGCTCGAACCCAGTGCCTTGCATGTGCTACGCGAGTGCTTTACCACTGAGCCACAACTCAGCCTTTACCCCCTCTATTTTTAACACACATACTTCAGTTTGTTTTCCTAACATCTGGAATTAATCTGTATTTGTATCCTTCCTCTAGATAGTAGAAGAGAATCTCCTCCTGCCTTTTTCCTTTCTATCTCCTGGTTAATAACATTTGAAATTTTGATTGCAGATTTTTATTTAAAATATTTTAAAATAAGTTTAGACTTATCAAGATTTAATCATTTCTTTCAACAGTCTCTTATATCCTACTATTCTGCCCTAGGTTTAGTTTTCTTCATGATTTATRTCTAAAAAAATATTCTGCCTTTGTTTTTGACAAGTTTTTTTTTTTTTTCTGGGCTTAGTTTTATAGGTTGAACCTTTTTTGTGTAAGTACTTTAAATATATCTCTCTACTTACCTATTTAACAGGGCATACCTTGTTTCTGAGGAAAAGTCTGTTGTCATTTTTTTCTTTCCTCTGTGTGTAATATCCCCCCCYTTTTTTTTTTTTACTTTTTGAAATTTTCCTATCATTAGAAGCAATTTGATTATGATGTAGTTTGTGTATTTCTATTTATGTTTATTTTGTACCAAAGTTCATTGAGCTTCTCAGATCTTTGGGTTTAAATTTTTTATCAAATGGCCAGGCACTGTGGCACATGATTATAATCCCAGTGAGAAGGAAGGCTGAGGCCAGGAGGATTGCAAGTGTGAGACCAGACTGGGCAACTTAGTGAGAGCCTGCCTCAAAATTTTAAAAATGTAAAAGCTGGGGATATAGCTCAGTGGCAGAGCCCATTGGTTCCATCCCTAGTACCACTCCCCCCAAAAAAAGGGGGGTGAGAAAGAGAGAGGAAAGAAAGAAAAAGAAGAATGAGGGGAGGGATTGGGCTGTGGGGATGGGAAGGACAGTAGAATGAGACAGACATTATTACTCTGTATACATGTATGATTACACTACTGGAGTGACCCTGCACCATGTACAGCCAGAGGAATGAGAAGTTGTGCTCCATTTGTGTACAATATGTCAAAATGCAGTCTACTATAATAAATATTTTTTAAAAGAATTTTTTTTAATCAAATAAAAATCCCTTTAAAGATTTTTCACTTTTTT